CTGAAGTGTCTACCTCCACCGATGAGATATAACCCTACATCCTAAACTCAAAGCCCCAAGACCTAAATCTCTAAACCCTAAATCCTACATCCCAAACTTTAAACCCGAAGCCCTAAATCCCAACTACACCCAAACCTCGGAGGGTTTGGGAAGGCGTCGGGGTCTGAGTAAGGTGTCTTTTCTCGCTGAGGACTCCGAGGACAATTCTTTCGGGCTCCCTAGTCTTGTACTATCAGGGGTTAGGGTTTAGGGTTTAAGGTTTAGGGTTTAGAGTTCAGAGTTTAGGATTTAGGGTTTAGGGTCTAGGGTCTATTCGTAAAAGTACACTCTACTAGACATTACCACAGAACCCTGTTCTCGGATGATGAAGGCTCCAAGAGTATCCCCCCGCCCCCGAAGTCCTTCACCTGACTGGCCCTAACCCTAGACCCTAAACTCATAATTCCTCAACCCTCAACCCTAAACCCTAAACCCGAATCCCTACTTCCCAAACCCGAAGCCCTAAACTCCTAATTCGTAAACCCTACTTGGAGGATCATGGGACGTAGTAAACTAGGATTATAAGGTAACTATACTTGCAAGGTAGTTATAACCTTACTTACTAAGTCCCATGATCCTCCAAGTACTCCCTAAACCCTAAACCCTGCACCCCCAAAACCCCGAATCCCTAATTCGTAAACCCTACTCCCTAAACCCTAAAACCCTACACCCCCAAAACCCGATACCCTGAACCCCGAATCCCTAAGCCCTAAACTTCCTAAACCCTACGTAGCTGCGACAGGTCACGGAGGACTTGCGCAGCTGCCCGGTCGGATTTCGAGCTGACTCCATCTGTCAGGGGTTTAGGGAATAGGTTTAGGGTGTAGGGGTTTATGGTTTAGTAGGGATCTCCATGGTTTTTTTCGGGGTTTAAGGATTGGGAAGAAGTAGTTTAGGGGTTTATGTTTTCATTACGGTTTAGGGCTTTAGGTGTAGGGGTAGGGGTTAGGGTCCATTTGGGAGTTTCCGACACCAAGGGTATCTCATTAGGGGCCCTTCATGCTCTAGGGTTCTATATTTTGCATTTTTCATGTTAGTAATATTCGTTTGGGTTGTATGATGTCCTGTTGCTTGGGAGGCTTTTTCGACTCGGCAAAAAGTCCCAATCCAAGTTAAGAAGGTTTGCGCTAAACCGACGCTTTAGGCAAGGGTGTAGGATTTTGGGGAATTGGGCTTTCACTCGTCTTGGTCTGTCCTTCCAGCGAAGTCCTTTTATCTGACGCGGAACGAGACCCTACTTCAGAAACCTCAACCGTTCAACTCCAACCCCCGAATCATCCCGGACCCTCAATCCCTAAACATTATACCAACCCTAACCCCTAAACCCCAAACCCTAAACCGCCAACTAACCCCTAAACCCTTAACCCAAAGACTCCTAATGCCTAATCCTAAACCCCTACACCCCTAAACCCCAAACCCTGCAACCTACGGCCCCAAACCCTACGACCTAAAATCCTGAAGCTCTGAACCGACAACCGAGAACTCTCCCGCGTGGGGCGCATCATGGAGGACGTTTAGGGTTCAGGGTTTAGGATTTCGGACTTAGGGTTTTGGGTATAGGATTTGGGGTTAGGATGTAGGGTTTAGGGTTTAGGATTTGGGGTTTAGGGTCCCATATGTCAAACTCGCACACTCTTCCCATTCCTTAGGACCCCTGATTACAAGTCTACTAAACTAACAAAGGAACCTGATTAAGACACCTTGGATCTTTACTAGGGTTCTTTATATGAATCCTATTATTTTTGGGTCATAGGGCCAGCGTTTCTTAATCTGGTTCCCACATTATAAGTATCCCGAGAATCTTATTGCAATCGATAACGTTCCCCGCCCTACTTGGAGGATCAGGGGACGTAGTAAGTAAGGTTATAACTACCTTACTTGGTGTTGTAATTACTTATAAGTATAAATACCTTACTTACAACCCTAGTTTACCCTAAATCCTAAACCCTAAACCGTTTTACTAAGTCCCATGATCCTCCAAGTAAAGTTTTTCAGAGATGGGAGCTCGGGGGTTCTCTTTTCTTGTGTTGTTGTTTGCGTTGTTCTCTGCTTGGGGGTATCTCTTCAGTGAGGCTGTCGACCAAAAGGATTTTCAAGGATGTGTAGGTTCTGTGTTCATATACGTTCGCAGAGTGTCAGCGACAGCTAGGATGATTTAGTAAGATGCCCTAAACCCTAAACCCTAAACCCTAAACCCTAGCCGGCATCCTTAAGATGCTTCCCAGAGGACCGGTTGGAGGCTTTTGACCTCGTCGAGAGGCGAACAGAGGAAGTGGCAGAGAAGGTCCAGGCCGGGCTACCTGGTGTTTGAGTTTAGGGTTTTGGGTTTAGGGTTTGGGGTTTTGGGTTTAGGGTTTTGGATTTTGGGTTTGGGGTTTAGGGTTGCCATTTCTTGTTTGAGGGGCGGGCTTTATTAAAGGTTAAACTCTCTGTTTTGAGTGTTCCATATGGATTCTACAGGGGTTTTGGGTTTAGGGTTCCGTTTCAGGTTTTTAGATGGGTTTCACGTTGGTCAGCGCTTCTTTGACAGTAGGGGTTCTTTGGTCTAGGGTTCCTTGTAGGCTGTACATCCGATGTGAGGCGGTTTTTATAGGACCTTTTGGGTTTGCGCACGGTCTAGTACGGCGTCGCGGGGGTTCAAGATGTTCACAGGAACCCTTAACCCTAAATCCTACACAATGATTTAGGGTTCGGGGCTTTGGGGTCAATCATTTTCTATTTCCCGGAACCGCAGGGTCCGATAAGGTTGGCTCCGCAAACCCCTGCTCTAGTTGTGAAGGCCCCGGCCGTGTATGCGACAAATCTTTGCCTGTCATTGACTTCTTTATTTCGAACCCTGCGCCTAATATAGGGGCCTCAATAATTATAATACTTAGTATAATGAGAGCATCATATACCCACAAACCCTACATAACTCTAATTAAGGAGAGTCGTTATCTTGTTCCTTTGGAATTCCCTGGTTTATCTGCGGCAGAAAGCCTCCCTTCACGCTCGTCTGGCTTCTTAGGTCACTGCAAGTAGTCTGCCTGGCTGCGTTGGGGCTGCACGTTTTCGGGATGTAACCCTATAAACCCTGAGCCTTGCTTCTTGCCCTATGTGTAGACGGGCAGAACTCGGACCTGAACCCCGCTTCTGGGGGTTTCTCATTCGGGGCTGATTTCTGCCTAATCAGGATCCCACACATCGGGTTCTCAATCAGCGCCCTTCCGTGTTCTGAACCTCGCACCTGATGATGTGCCTCACTGCCGCATTGGAACTAAATAGGAGCCCACGCACAGTCTCCCGCCTGCTTATGCTTGGACCCACTCGGTAGAGCTGTGCCAATACACTTCCAAATGCATATCAGCATATATCACTGTGGCTCGCACCAGGACTGTAGCAGCTTAACAGCATAGCAAAAAACCCTCTAATCCACCCCCAAGCCCTGCAAATGAGTTGTAAGCCTTACTCGCTTGCATTATTTGTAGCAGAAGCCACTGGCTTAATCCCGCGAGGCTTTGGATTCGGACATGGAGAATGCAAGGCTTGTTTGGGCAGTGTTTCTGTCAATCGGTTTTTGAGCATCTGATTCCAGAGAAAACTCTCTTGGACGACCTACAACCAAGCAGCTTAGTGAGGCCACACCTGCGGCGACCTAAGCCTAACTCTGATCTCCCCTATCAAGTACCACGGAGCCAAACACTGTAGATTGAAAAGCTCACCATCACCACAACCGCTCAGTGTCGTCATCATCTGCAGCAGCAGTGCAGCGAGCATTACGCCAACATGGCTTTCACACGCTCAGCAAACCGAAAGTCTTTGATGCCCTGGTTTCTGTGCCATTTCGAGTAGATGTCAATGTTTCTTTTTGTTGTAACCATTGCTAGTAGCACCGATGCTCTCATCGTGTTGATGCCCAGGTTGGTCCCTTTTAGAACTTCTTGGCTGCAGCAATAAATCTTGTTATCTAGATCAACCATCATTGTCTAGACAAGGACCGGGGCAGGAGTACACCAGTATCAACATCAACAGCAGCAGCCAAACACGGAGAGCACCATGAGCAACAACGAATTACAACAACGACACCACCACCACCACCCACCACCACCACCCACCACCACCACCCACCACCACCAACCACCACCCACCACCACCCACCATCACCCACCACCACCGCCGCCACCACCACTGCCGCCGCCGCCGCCACCACCACCACCACCACAACCACCACGACCCACGCACCACCAGCACCACCAGCACCACCAACCAACACCAGCAGCAGCACCACCCACCATCCAGCACCACCATGGCACCGGCACCAGCACCAGCAGCACCACCAGCACCAGCATCACCCACCACAACCACCTCCACCAGCACCAGCACCAGCACCAGCACCAGCACCACCCGCCACAACCACCTCCACCAGCAGCAGCAGCAGCTGCAGCAACCATAACCACAGCAACAACAGTGTTGGCAACAACGGCAACCAGGAAGCCGGCAGTAACACCAGCGACAGCACCAGAGCTGCAAGAACTTCAGCGACATCTTGAACCAGTCAAACATGGAGAATACAAGCGGCATTGGCAGCAGAGGGCTTGAATACCCAGTAACCACGTGAGTCAGTGTAGTGAACAACAAAAATCTCAAAAGCAGAAACGACCAGTGACCAGCCACCCTAAACCCCTGAACCCCTCAATCCGCTAAACCCTCAAGCCCGACGCTCGTAAACCCCAGAGCCCGAGACCTGAGTGCCTTATACACTGAAACACTAAACCGTTAGCTCCTTAATCTAGGGGCCTTCTGAATTAGAATGGGGTTTTTGGGGCTCCTTGAAAGGGTTGCTTAACGTTTAGGGGCCTGTTCGGGCAAATTATGCTATAGTTATAATACGGAGCCCCCACACAATAGTGTTTTTTCTGGGCGGATTGTAGAGTCGACAGACGCATCCGTATGCACATAAATTCCGGTGAAACGAAAACGCATCAGGCGATGCGATGGGCCCAAAAACTGCATGTGCCTGTCCGTGGAGGCTCCGTGGTACGCTTGGGCAGTTCAGAGTGCACCCACGCAATTATTTCCGGGTCTGGGGCGGGACGACGGAGGAGCGTTAGTGGGGCCTCTTCGCCCAAGTAATCCAGGAGCTCTAGGCGTGTCGGCTGCAGAGGGCCAAATGCCTGCAAGGCAGGCGGTGCCGCTTGAAAGGTATGCCATTCTCCTTGACGCAGTTTCTTGACCCTTGCCTTATCAGCTGCTTCAACATCTTTGATGTCAGCCAAGCTCATAGGGACAAGCAACTCACAGGCCCGTTCCATGCACGCCCGGGAGGCCTTGAGATGATACTGCGCACGGGGAACAGTGTGGTAATGGCGGAGACAGGCAACACAAGTCGGGTGGTGCGTGTACAAGCGGGCAGGAGCAGGCATACCATGCCGCCGGGCAACATGTACGCCAAGGTGTTTGCGGAGAGGGAAGCTGGCAGAGCAAAAGGGGCAGGCGAACTCATGCGCCTGCTCCAGCGAAGACACTGCTGGTTGCGCAGGAACCTCTCCTTGGGCTTGGTTGGCCACCCACTTCTGCAAATCCTGTAGGCAAGTACGGATGGCGGCGTTGACCTGTCGCCTCCACCAAGAACGATCGGTGGTCAGAGTCTCGGACAAGGTATGGATGGGATGATTTCCCGATAGAAGGACAGAGACACTGGGTTGGTACTGGGCAACGTGGCGAAGATCGTCCAACACCTGACCTAGCCATGAGCGACCCGGCGTGGCCTCCCATTGCAACCACAAGAGGTGCACTAAGGTAGCAGGGCCGTGCTCAATTAGACGGAGATACAAACTGGCACGGGCCTTCGCCAAAGCAAGAGGAGGGGTAGGAACCCGAGCAAGGTGGAGTGCTTCATATGAATGAAGCTTGGACATTGCCGCGCTTCTAGGTCGGAGCGCCCGCCAGATGGCTGTATAGAGTCTCGCCCACAACCGCCAATGTCCAGCAACATGCAACTCAAGGGCGGCTGACCCGTACGTGTAACGAGTGCCAACTAGAGAACCCAACAGGTATCTCCGGAGAGGTAAGGGGATACTGTCGTTACCAAACAGTGGGCCACGAAGGGGGCGTAGGGCCCAGGTACTTTGTGAATACCGGTAGTGAATCTCTGGCTGGATGGCAGCGTTACAGGTAACGACGCCGCCAAGATGTCGATAAGCCTGGACAACAGGAAGAAACTGGTTTTTCCTTGCAACGCTGTCCTAGAGCCGGATAGTCTTGGGAGCCCCCGGCGAAGTAGCTGGCTCAAAGGCGTCATAGGTGCCGTGGTAGACCCCCGGTGGAAGGACCACTGCTGTTTTGTCCTCAGCAAAGGTCAACTGCATCCCAATTGCCGTGGCCCTAGAAAGGAAACGGGATGTGACTGCCTGCACTCTGGAAACGAGCGCAGGGCCGGTTTTGGCTGCTGTCATAGCGACAAAGTCATCAGCCCAAGAGGCCGGGTGGAGGACACGGGCCGGTCGAGGTCATCAAATGGAGGTGCCTGCCGACACGGCGGGAGGACAGTATGGAGATCGTTATCAATCAGCTCCTGCTGCACAGACTGGACGTAGGCACTGAAACTAACAGCAAAGAAGATATCGGCAAGAGGGTCGCCCGGACGAACACCGGCTTTGGTGGAGACTAGGGTGCTATCCGCATCCAATCGGAACCATGTCCCTCTAAAAAGCTCTCGGGCCATACCGATCAAATGATCAGAGCTGCCATATGAGGCGAGGTGGTTGAGCCTCGTGAGCTGTGCCATGAGGTCTGCGATGGCCGCATCAGGAACTCCTAATTTCTGAAAAGCGCAAGGATGACGGCGTCATCCGGTGTTGCTCCTGTGAGGGTCTCGCGCACAACTTGATAGTACGCCGCCTTCACGTCAAAGAAAATGAGCCCTGGCAGGAAACCGGCGGAGGTGGTGTGCGCCTGGAAGCAGCGCACTGCCAGAGCGATCGCATCTACGCCGATGCCTGCATGCACCCCCCCTTGGAGGTCATGGCCGTGCTTCTTTAAGAGGGGGACCAGTCTCCGCCGTAGGCTCTGGTGCATGAGTTTTCCAGGAACACTAGAAACCATGATGCTTCGGTGTTTACCGCACTCAAGAGATGCTGAGACACGTTTGGCGAGCGTGAAAAGCGCGCCTCCCTTAAACTCCACCGGCTCCCGCAAAGCCAGAAGACTCTTCGCAAAAAGTGGAAGAAGACGACGAGCTGCGCCCCCGGTGTGGAGTTTGAGCAGCTCCGACGTAATGCTGTCGGGGCCGGCAGCCTTGCCTCGCTTCAGACCAAGTATCGATCTCTCCAGCTCGGCCAACGTGGGAAGAAGATTCCAGTCAAAGAGGGTGGCTGTGGTTTCAGGGCAAGCGGGAGCAACAGGCGCAAATGCTTGGGCATACTGGTCAGCGGTGGTCTCGACCCCTAGTTCCTGGGTAGCGAAGTGTTCTCGCCACCGCCGGGAACGCTCCTCAGTGGTAGGTCCCCATTTTCTAGCCTAACTCCCGCAAGAGGACTAAATTTGCTCCGCTTAGCCGGAGCAGCCTTGGGGAATGCTCGACGGACACACGAGAAAAGGTGACGCGGGTCCACAAAGCTAGCTCGGGAGACTTCATCGACAAGCCCCTGCAGGTATGCGCATCTGTCCGTTTTAACGGCCTGTCGCACCTGGACACAAGCCTGGTTCAAAGCGGCCCAGTACCCGGCCACCACGTGGTCGGCGGCACGGATCCACCGCCGAGTCTGCTCAACCACCTGGACGCTTAAGACACTGCCTACGCGGTGGTGGGTGAAAACCGCGAAGCCCCATAGGCACAGACGCTTGTTGACTTCTGCCTCGGCGTCCCGGAGGCATTGCCGGAGTCGCTTGCGTTGCTGGACATGGTCAAGGGTGGTGGACGTAAGGAATGTCTGCTGGGGCCGCTGTGCCTTTCTAGGCATGACTTGTCGGCCTGTTTGTGTCCAGGTCGTGACCAGAGTCTGGTAGTGGCTGTCCACATCAACGTGCCAGCCCGGCAAAGGCTTCTGGTCAAGCAAAGCACGGAAGGCGCCCCGATCCATTCCTGGATCCAAGTCGTTAGGGCGACACGCCGCACGGCGGAATGTCGCTGGGGCAGCAGTGGGGGCACGTGCATACGCACACGTCCAGACCACCGGCTGATGGTCACATTTCTTCTGGAGCGCCTCAATGTCGTACCAGACCCTAGTGTCCTGTGCAACAGAGCGCCACTGTTGCGAAACAGCAACATAGTCAAGTCGGTGTGTGACGCCCGGAGCATACTGCCACGTCCACGAAGCACCGCGGTGTATATCTGCGAAGGTGGAGGGCAAGTACAACTGGTGCGCAAGAAGGAAGTCGTGAAAGGCAGTGCCCGCGGGGCTCTCGGTTTCTGCCCCCTGTGCTCCCACAGCGGCGCTTTCTAGGCCGCCTAGCCGCGCGTTGGCATCAGCTAGGACGAGCAGAGGAGTACCAGTCGGTAGTTTCTTGATTTCCTTGGCTCGCTGAGCCCAAAAATCCCGAACTATCCCCTGACTATCTTGTGGGTCGGAAGGGGCGTGGGCAACCAAGACTGCAAGGCGCAGATGTGGTGCGGAGATATGTACGAGCAGGTGCCGCGGTGAAACTGCCGCGACGGTACACTGTGCCAGCTCGATATAGAACCGCTGGTTGCCACACGTGGCATAAGGAAGGTTACGACAGATCCACAATGCGCAACCAAAGTGTCCGGCCGGACTGGCCGGAGCATGGAGCATCCAGTACTCCCGATCAGGCAAAGATGCCATTTCTTGGATGCGCGTCTCCTGTAGCCCAAAGAAAAGGATGCCTGCCGCTTTGATCTGCCTCACCAAAAGGTGGCGCCGGCCATGCATTTTTACACCTACCTGAGCAGATGTTTTCACGCCCACGGGTTTATCCAGCAATGTCAGGACATTGTAGGTGGCCGCGCAAAGGTGGTAATGCAAGAGGGAGGACGAAGTGCCACCTCCGGCCTGTCGACCCATACAAGGGGCCGGTCGGGAAGGTTGTGGCAAACGTTGCAAACGCTTGGCCTCGGCCTCCAAAGCGTATAGAGCAGGCAAATCCCCGGCATGGTCTGCAGCAAGCCAAGCCCATTGGAGCAAAGGATGTAAGACAAGGCAGGCGGGCCAGTGAGGAAGGGCCCTCTCCTCGTAGCTCTGGATCGAAAGTCTGGCACGCTTAGCGAGGGCGTCACTCAATTCATTGCCAAGATCGCCCTTATGTCCGGGCACATGAGTGTGGTGCAGATCAACGCGCCGCGTGGCCACCTGACGCAAGGCCACAGCAGTGTGGCTGAGAACAGGATAGTCTGACAGTGACGACAAGTGAGCCGGGGCAGACTGCGCGAAGGTGCCGTCACCGGCGGCAAGGCAATCGTATTGCAGGCAGATGGGGCAATGGAAAGCCGGACCATACTCTATCACCCAACACAATGCCCAGCAGATGGCCAGAACTTCACTGACTAATGGAGAGTCGCAGGGTTCACCGAGGCAAAAGGGCGTATGTGGAGCGACCGCTGTAGATGCAGCGTGACCATAGTAGAAGCACCCCTTTGCAGTTGTGATCCAAACATTGAAAGCCCATCCGCATGGCGCCGAAGCCAAGGGTTCGGCACGGCCACTGGCGGACCCATCCGTGTAGATGTCGACCCATATGGGCTGGCCAGGGCGGCAAATGTTATGCCAATACACAATGTCTGGGAGCACTCTGCGCAAACTAAGCGCGGCCTCGGGAAAAGATGCAATGCCGGCCAAGTCATTGTCGAGCCAGTCCTGCTCGGCTGCCCGGTTCAAGTCAAGAACTGCTGCCGGTATTAGGCTGGCAAGCCTCTGGCACAGAAGCTGATAGGGCGTTTGAGGAACGATGTCAGCGAGACTTAGTGGGACCCGAGATTGCGCTGTGGCACCAGCCCTCGGAGGGCCACAGGTAGCAAAGTGTTCAAAAAGGACATCGAGGAGAATGGCAGCCTCGTAAAGTGCCATACTGTCCGAACGTTGGATGCTCTGCTCAAGCAACGTGGGCCGAGCTGCAATGGCATCTTCATCGTCAGAGTCTGAATCAGGATCTACGGCCCAGTTCAGATAGAAGACACTGCTCGGCAGGAGAGAAGCGTCACGGTGCTTACTACTCTGGCAAGGGGTAGGAAGGAGCCGGCTTATGTCCATCGCACATGCCTTTGCACCTACCTTCTGAAGGGATGACGCGTCGTAGCCCGCGTGCACGGGGAGAATGCACCAACTGGCAACTATCAATCCGAGCAGTATCCATGGGAACGGTGGGCGCTGTTGCCCGGCGACCCTGACACAAAGGAGTACCAGGCCAATGATGGGCCATTGATGAAGGGCCCAGACCATACCGGCCAAGCAGAAGGAACAGAGTGCCACAACCACAAAGGCAAAGAGGGCTGGGCCACCAACCGAGCAGGCGTGGGCATTAGGATGTATATGCCCAGTAGCAGGGGCAGCGCACGTCAAATGTGCGTCGGGTCGGCAGCACGCCTTGGTGACCGTTCGAGTGTATAGGCAGGCTGGTGGGAGGAGGACAGGGGTTGCTTTCCGCGTACCTTCAACTAAGGCGTCGCGATCAGAAACGGAAAGCCACATGACTACTCGACTCCCATCAGGTCTAGCATGCAGAAAAGCAGTCACGGCGCATGGGGCAATGAGGGCGCATGACTGGGCGCGTGTGCTATTTGTGGTATGGTGGGCTGAAGGCTCGGCAGTCCCGCGGCGGGTGCCGCCAGTTCCAGCGTCACCCGAAGATGAAGCTGAAGATGTGTCAGCACCGCTTCTGGGAAGGCCAGTGTGATACCCCTCTGTAGAATGAGGGGCAAGATGCACATAGGTGTCCGGGCTGAGCTCGGTCACCACATCACGGATGTAATTGGGATGGAACTCTGCCGTGAGAACGTCCCCTGCATCAAGGGAGCGAATGTGCTTTCCACGGTCGCTGTCGGCTCGTCCACCATAGAGCCTGAGGTGGTACCCGGCAGGGCATCGGCTACAGAGCCTGTTGGCCAGGCCTGTCACATCAACCTGACCATTGGCTGCATAAGACCACGAAATCGGCAATAGCAGCGGTCGGAGGTCCAAGACAAAGGGAGTTTTATGTCGAGGTCCCTCGAGCAGAAAATCAGCCAACATACAGGCGATAAGAACGCTGTGTGTGCGCATGCCTTTTCTAGCGTGATCACGAATCTCAGGATTGATCTGTATCAGCACAAACTGACCAGGGGGGAGATCGAGAGCATTTGCAGTGGTTGCGCTGTCAGTGGCAAAATCATCGCTGTCAAGCGGAACAGCCGCATGAGTGCCGTCTGTAAGAGTCCAGACGCAACGAGTATCATCCCCTGGGAGATGAGGTGTCACATCCCATTCACGCCCATCACCAAGCATCTCATCGGCCTCTGGCATCCTATCCCCTCGGTCAACATCATCGCGAACAAGAATCAGATCCCCTTCGTCTGGAAAGACCTGCACATCGTCCGTGATAGGCCAAGGGACGTCCTTGAGGTACACACAGCACTCCGTACCCTCCGCGACACCTGCAGCAACAAGGATAGCGTCCCGTGTAAGACGGTGCGGGAGAACAATCGCGAAAGTGCTGATGGGCGCAATTCGTTTATCAATTAGAACCGCAACACCTATATAAGGCCAGTGCGGAAGGGCAAGAGCACAGATCTGACGGGCACGTGGTTGCGGAAAGACCGCGACCAAGCGGGGCTGCCTTCGGTGAGCATCCCCCTGTCGGAGCTGTGCAACAGAAGCGAAGGCTTCCCCAATCCTGGCGGGAAGCCGCAGTGTGGGTATGACAAGCTCTGGCCAGTATTCTTCGGAGAAGAGGATAAATGGGACAAGCGCTGGCAGACTTGGGCGGGATTGTCTGGGAGCGTCCTCAAGAGGTGTCGCCCTCGGCAGATCTGCGCGGGGCTCCGATAGGTGAAGGCCATGTGCATTGGCCGAAACAGCTCCTGTGGCAGCCACGGTCTGATCTGCAGACAAGTCGACGTGAGGGGCTGAGGACCCACTGGCTAGAGCATACGTAACCACTAGAATTTGTCCGGGAGCGACGTGAACCTGATCATCACCTGTAGCCTGTCCGTCCAGGTAGACTTGCCAACCCAAGGGTGCATCGAAAAGGTCACGAAGGTGCTCAAAAAGAAGTAATCCATCTCGTGCCTTGACAGATTTCCATCCCTGTTGTATGGGCCGGCAGTCGAGAAAACAGCTATGCCAGACTAGCCCGACGTCAGAAGCATCTCCCTCAACTGCGAGCACAGTCCTGCACGGGTATCCATCATACACAACATCAGTGAGATGGGGTCTGGCAGCCTGTATACGCATGTACTCGACTTCTAAACGCGCTGCCAGGGCAAGGTCCTGGCGACACTGCAATGGATGATCACTGGTGACAAAATGCAGACGTGCCGTGCCGCCCGTGACGACACAACAGGTGTCGAAAGCCGGGTTAGCGAGAGCAGGACGCACCATCACCCACGCATTGGGCATCAACAGTTGCTGTGACACTTAAGACGAGAGGCTCGGGAACATACTGATCCTTAGGCGTGAAACGGATTAGGGCTCCAGGGTAGAGATGGACAGGATAGCCATCTGGTATGGGATCGTTGGCAATGCCAACTCGCACCTGAAAGGATCAACGCGGCGAGTATTACAATGCAGCGCGTTGGGAACGACACCCTTGAAAGGATCTGTTGCTGCCCAGTCAATGAAGTTGGCTGCTGCAATGAGGTCGTGCCTCATGACATAATCGGGCAGATGAAGCGCAAAAATCCGGCCATCCACAGCTGCAGCGTTGAAACAGCATCCTTGGAAACCGGCGGCCCATCGAGGACTAGCCAGAAAGGCCGCGAACCCCTCAAAAGGTTGGGGCAGTACCGGTAGAAGAAGCGGTTGTAGGCGCTGCATGTGTGGGCACCTGGCAACCTCAATTATCTGTTCCAACTCCGCGCTAGTTGCAGGAAGACAGAGGGCGACGGTGACCACTTCTGGGGTATATCCGACTTTGTAGATCAGACATTGGAGCTCCAGAACAGCTTCATCACCTGTATCAGAGGCTGCATCTGCTTCGGTACCTAGGGGCCATGCTGCGTGCAGACCAGTCCGGTCCTCATGAAGCCATCGGCCACCGAGCTGGCCGACAAGCGCCCGAAGGTGACCCAAGTGCCTTTGGGCCTGACTGTTGCTGCATTTCGGCTCAGAGAGGAGTCGGTCAGAAGGAGAAGCAGCTGATAGTTCGCGACGGAAAACCTGGCCTAAACATGCATACCTCTGACAAAGAACAACGAGGAGACTGAAAAGCCCGAGCACAACAGCAATAAGCAGGGCGGTGTGCAAACAGTCAGAACTAGCATGAGGCGTATTTGCCAGAGCCTGTGCCGGCTGTGCACATGAGCCAAAAAAGGCACTGACACCAAGTAGGGCCGTACATGTGCCATGGCCGGTCGGGGGAGCATGTCCGCTTCGCTGTCCACCAGTGGGACAAGGCGGGGGAGGGCCGCGCGGTGACCGACTCCTACCGCGAGAAGAGTTGGAAGTTGAAGAAGCGCCATCGATGTCGGCACTATCGGGGTCGTTGTGCCCCACCTGGCCAGCTGCCCCCGTAGTTTGGTCAGAACTCGTGCCAACATCACCGATGGCAGCATACCATGCAGTGAGGCATGCCCGGTCAGAGACTGTATAGAAGATGCCACCTGGTCGAGATTCTCGTGGCGCGCCTGTGATACACAGGCGGAAGCCCTCTGGGCACCTACGGCCGACGGCCGCCTCAAGCTGTGCATGTGGCACCTGGCATGCCTCAATAGGAATGCCCACGACTGGCTCAAGAAGCGGACGCTTATCAAAGACAAGAATCATGCGTCTACAAGCCCCAGGTGGAGGAGGTGGCGGGGCCGGCACAGCAACAAGAACTAACCTGGCGCCATGTCCTCGATGACAAAAGTCCTGAAAGGCTGGCTGTGGAACAAGGACGCGTACACTGTTTGGGGTAGTGTAGCCGAGCGCCTCTGCCACCTCAGTTCGCGTGATTCGAACCGTGTCTGGTTCAATGGCAAAGCGGCGGTATGCTGCACCTACTACAACCCAAAGTGAGCGACAGGCACCTAGTGTCTCTCCAAGTGCAGAGGCCCAGCCCTCCCTACGCCGAAGCATTGGGCCAACAGCCTGCCGATAGGGGCGGGGCCGACCAGCCGGAAGAACAGTGATCAGGTCACCATGTTGCAGCTGGACGGGTTCGTCGTGTGCAATGGGGCGACGACTGTCAGGGCCCCAGACATCGACCTCAAAATGTTGCGCTATGCCTATAGCAGCGAGGATGCCTGATCTTGTAGGGTCAGTACCTACCCTGCAAGCATAGACAGTGTCGCGCATAAATGTGCATTCACAAATAATAGTCGTCTCGCGACAAGGCCACGCAGGTCTACCCACAAGCAAAATCATTGTGGGTATAGGCTGCTGGGCAGCAAGCGTCAAACACGGGAAGTGACGCTGATCCTCGTGGGTTCTAGCTGCCTGCACGGACTCCAGAACTTCAGGTATGTCGGAGGGTTCTGGAATAGGAATTGGCAGAAATTCGGGCAGATACCCTTCGCAGAGAACAACAAAAGTAATCACAGTGGGCGGGGCCCGTTGCACGGCTTGATGATGGCGCACCTGTGGGACAGGCAGATCAGCCAGACGCTGTTGCTCAAGACGATCTCCAGGAACACCATTAAAGCCGGTAGGTTCTGCTGCTGGCACATCACCGGTTGCGTGGGGCACAGCAAGATAAGCAGGCTCATGAGGCATCCGGAATGTGTCACTGACCGCATGGAGAAGGGCATCAGCAACAGTATGTGACTTGGGAAGCAGGTGCCATAGAGCAGCGACGTGACACGTCCACGGGGCGGCTGACTTATATGTCGCAGCACCAGTTAGAGCGGCAACAGGGAGGAATTGGCAATATGCCGACAGATCAGGAAGGACAGCATCACCAACCACATGACAGGGCTTGTTGAGGCCAATAACTGTGCAAGCGTCACTGCTGCCAGGAGCAGGGTTGTGGTCTCGCGGTTCCTCAAATCCCTGGAAAGACCTGTCAGAACTAGCCTCTTTATGCGTCAGTGTACCGTGCCGGGACCTAGAACGAGTAGACCCCTGGCTGTCAGAAGCTGGGCCTTCCTCGTCTTCCTCATCCGCCAAGTCGGGTGTGAAGGACGACTCTGAATCTTCCTGACCTGCCTCGTCCGGCACCTCATGGATGAAAGCAAGTGTCAGCACTTCCCCACTGAAAACCTCAACACCTTGTCGGCACTTGCGTCCCCCTCGAACTGCAAGTCGCCATCCGGCGGGTGGGGTAA